CGAAAGACGAGTGTTTCACTTTCGGAAAATTAAAAAAAAAAAAAAAGAAAAAAAGATAGCGTCAGAAGGTAAGCATTAAATATTTGATTGACGTAGAAAGCACAAAATTCCTGACTATATTATCGATGTTTCAACGCAAAGCGGAATAAAGCGAATAACGAGAGCAACCTACTTTATCGGTCACGATTTTTTATCCCAATCCCAGAGCCGGTTTCTCGACGAAAATGCATTTACCTACTTTCATTATATTGGGACCAGTCGATGGTCGAACTTCACTTTCGATATCACCGACGAAAACGAAGGAGCGAGACACGTTTACGTCGGCCTTCGTAACAGGATCGCGATTTACCGTTCCAATCCGTTCATCACTGGTCGATGATTCATTATCAGTGTTATTACTTGTATACGTATATGGTTTGTATACAGAATGGTTTGTATCAATCCGTTCATAAGTAATGATAATTGTTCATAAGTAATGAAAATAATATATCATTTTTGAAGTTGATGTTTAAATTCAATTATCGTTAATTATGAACGAATTGATATATTATTATGTGTAATATATTATTTTTAATATACAAATATATTATATATATATATTTTTTTTATATATGTTATTTTAATCGTTCAGATCGCGATTATAGAGATTATGCACAATTGCTGACAGACTACGATTGATTTATAGAAATTTAATTATTGCATACTTCAATGGAAGAAAATATCGATGATCACGAAGAATTATTTTCGAAAAAATTTCCTTCAGTCTTCGTTTGTTAAAAGGACAGAGAAAAATCGTTTTGCGTTAATCATTTTACAAACGATCGTGATTTAGTTTCACCGACCAAACATTGTAAAAGTTATAAAAAGTGACAATGTACTTTTGATTTCAGTTTGTAAATTAAACTTTTTGAAGTAACAAAACGAAGTTCACGTAAATTTCGTGGTAAAGTATTGCAGTATTTCAGTATATTTAGTATTGACGCATTTTCACGTATTTATTTTCTATGTATTATACTTATATACAGCCAATATTTTCTAACATGACGATAAACCGATTCAAGTTACTCAGCTGACCGTCTTACAACTTTCCAAGGGGAAAGTTATTTTCACGAGGCTATTTTCGCGTTCACAGCTGCAAAAGTCGATTTACAATTTCATTCGATATCTATGTTCCCTTATCTTCGTTTTTCCCGGCATTACGTAAACGTGTAAATACAACGGTGCTTCTCAGGTATGTGATTGCTCTTAAAAGGCGTATTTTTATCAAAAGTATTTTCATCAAAAAGTTGTGCCGTTAATTTTATCGAAAATTTCTCTTTATTTCCACGTATCTCTCTCTCGATCCGAATTGGAATCATAATTTTCGTTTAACCCCAATCACGTTAGTCCACAAACGTGTATAACATTAACAGCTTGTTAAATCGTTAAATCTTTCGCATTAATTTCATTTCCATTGGAACTAAGCTCATCTACGCAGCTTCTAAGAAAAGATCGACTCGATTTTTATTTCAAAGTTTATTTTATATTTTAGTGTTCTTATTATTGTTTTCGTATTTTAGTGTTTAGTATTTTATACTATTTTTGTATTTAGTATTTAGTATTTGATATTATTTTTGTGTTTACTATTTAGATTTTAGTTTTCAGCACTATTTTAATATTTCACTATTTTTATCATTAATTTACTGTTTTTATTATTATTTTTGTTCTTTTTCCGTTGTTTCTATTTGTCGACGCAATGTCTTCATTGCCAACGAGCAATCTTTCTTTGTCTTCTTTTGCTCAATCTGCACAAGATTGACGTTCCTGACAATGAATGACATAAATGTATAGTAAATATATATAACTTTATTATTCATGTGACTATTATTTGTTCCGTATACTCCTACATGTATCTATATGAGTCGCTTGTCTGGTGAGGACAATATCACTCTGTACAGGTCGGTACCCTAAATTTTCATTAGTGGGATATCAGTGTGGGTCAAAATGACCCCGGCACAGGACGCTGCGGTTCAGTGGTCGGAGGGTTAGAAAAGAATTCCTGCTTCCTGCTTTTGATTTGCGTTCGACACGCCACGTATGTACGTGTCGTAGGCGAATGTTTGTTAAACACGTGAGCCGCGTGCGTGCTGTCACACTCATATTACGCGAAACGTCGAATTGGGTCACGAAATCGCTTGCACCAACCGATCGACGATTTCTGCGTTCCGATGACGATAAATCCCAGAGCTAGGTTCATGTAACCGTGCCGATGTCGAAATTTTTACGTGATTTACGAACGTCGAATGGCCCGGGCCATTTCTCTCCTCCAAAGCTAACCTTTGGCAACGCCTTCACGTAACTTGGCCAGATCTTGTCGTTGTCAAACTTGCCAGTGCAATGGTGGCCGAACGTTCGCCAACAACCGAAGGAACGCGGAAGGAAGCATCGGTGAATGGTGACTCTTCATGTCGAGTCAGTGACTCGATAGGTGGGTGGGATGTTGTTGTACGGGATGACGCAAGATGCGAATCTTCCTCTCGGTATGATGTTACACCTGTAACCTCGTTGCACAGAGAAGAAGAAGGTCAATGCACATGAAGTAATGCTCACCTCGAGCGGAGGTGAGCATCGTGACACGATCGTTTGGGCACGATGCCAACGCCATTGTCTGCCATTTGTCCTGTAATCCTTGACGCCACGTTCATACTAATTCTCCCCCTTTGTTAATCCACCGCGTGCTTGATCTAACGTTGTGCATTGCTCCTGCGTAATCTGATTTACGATGTTACGTATGCAATATCTGTTACAGGATCGTACGATCGTAAGCAGCAACGATGATCGAAGGAGACTGGAGGATGGAGTTTCGCCGCAATTGGTGAGTCACGCAATTGATGAAGTAGAATTATAAAATCCCTCACGAACGCTCGCCTTTGACTATGAATTACGTAGAAAAAAAAATATATATGGACAAATAGTTGGTAGAAAGTTAGTTTGCTCAATGCACGCTAATAAATTAATTCCACCATCGTTTCTTTAAACATAATCACTCTGAAACATTCGAATAATCGTCAGATGGTTATCATCAAATTTCCTTCTCTCTCTCTCTCTTTTTTTTTCTTTTCTTTTGTTAAGAAAGCAGCACGACGTAACGCTCCCATTTGGTGAAATTTAAAGTTATCTTTTGAAATTATGTCAGACAATACGTAACGAGGCGGCAAATGTGCCTTGCAACGATAGTCGTTACAACAATGAATGAATATTCATGCTTTCGAGAAAGGAAAAAAAAAAAAAAATACAATAGGATCGTTTTTTTCTTCAAAGTCTTTTGAATGGGCCGTCGAGTCGAACCCTGTTTTATGAATTACACACATATTTCTTGAGTTCAAAGAATAACCGGGCATTGAGACATCGGAGGAAACGTCGTTGCGCCGTAGAGAACTGCTAAATTGCGACAAAAAGGACGCGCGTCTGGGAACGTACGAATTTCGATCCGGCGGAGATCAAACAGATAAAACAGAACTTCTTTTAAAACTGCTTTCGAGCTTGTCTCTGTGAAAAACATCGCTCTATTCCGTCTATTCGCGCGAATTTCATCATTTTACAACCGCGGAAAGAACGAGTCAACGCGAGACTCGTCTTGCAGATACGTGAGACTGGTTGCCACTGTTGCAGGCTGCGTTCTTTATCACGCAGCCGATCCGATGGTAACTGAACAGAGTTGGGCATTATTCGAATAACATTTCAAATATTCGAACAACATTTTAAATAAATTCTTCGAGTAAAATTTTATTCGTATAACATTTCGAATAAATCCTGCGAATAAAATTTTATTGTTATTAAATAATGTTTCGGATAAATACTAAACGTGTCGAGTGTATTACAGAAATGGTTATTGGAGAATTATTGATAAAATTGGTAAAACTTTTCTGCTCGGTATTAATAGAATAGTATTTGAGAATAAAAGTGGCGTAGGTTAAAGAAAGCGTAAATCGCGTGCGTGCTATTATTTCCTAAGTTTTCTGCCACGATTTAAGAATTCATTCCTGGAACGCAGTAAAATTCGCTTATGCCACTTTCACACTCGTTCTCGCGTAATTGCTCTACAAATACAGTTGCTCTTGTTTCAAAATCTGACGTAATATAATATACACAGGGTGTCCCGTGATTCGTCAAAGAAAAGAAAGAGTAGAATTTTTTTATACAGTCTAAAACTCTCGTTTTTGAGAAAATGGAGTTCGAATAGTATATCAACTATACTTAATTTGGTTAATTCTGTACTGACGGACAGGAATAATCGACACGAGGATATTCTATAAGCAAAAATAAATAAAAAACGTGGAGCAAAATTTTCTCGTTCTCACGAAAATAAACTTTGACTGCGTTTCGTTGAAAATTGCCTTCAACACTCTTGAGAAAAAATTTTCAAATTTCTCAAAAACAATACTTCCATAAGTTTCTGTGAGATTTCTCCTGCATGATTAAACTTCTGTAAATTTTATTCTACGTTTTCTACTTACTTGCGCACGTAGAATAACCTCATGTTCAATTATTCTTTTCTGTCACACTTATAATTAGCTAAATTCAAGTTTAAACTTAAATTTAATTTCTTTTTTCTAATTCAATTTTTAAACTTGAGTTAATATTCTCGAAAACGGAAGAACGAAAAAATTTTATTTCTTTTTCGACATATTTTTCGACACATGTGAAATCAATAGGTTGACCACGAATTGCGGGACACCCTATATATATGTATGTATCGCGCGGCGATCCTCTTTCGGCCGAAAGAAACGTGAAGGTCGACGTAGGAATTTCGTAACTAAAATTCCGATCGGCCGAGTTCCGGTACAATACTTGATACACGAGTTCAATCTCGCCTTCTGTTATTTTTATCGATCAAAAGAAATAATCCGAAAGGTCGTCTGTCGCGACCGGTTGCGCGAGAACCTCGACCACTGGAGAAACAGGAATGATTCGAAAGTTGGAGGATACAGCTTCGAATTTGATTCATCGCTCGGAACAAATTAACTTTATTAATATCTCTTTCGTCTTTATTTTGATGATTATCCTTCTTTACAATTGTTAACAAAAAGAAAAAGGTTGAGAACGAAACGGTTTACCTGCAACTTGTGTGAATTACAATAGAAGGACGAGAGTTCAGCGTAGTGAAAATAATACTTTGTGTTTTTCCATTGGGGAAGCGTGATATCATAATTGCATAGTTGCGAAAGGTTATGCACGCTGCTCTCGCGATTTATTTCGATCCAATTTACCTTACGACGATCCAATTAATATAGTACAACGTAATAGCAAGCGTGCAGTGTCGCGGGACGCCGACTCGAAGACGCAGCTTGACGAAAAAGAGGTTTTCCTTCGAAACGAAATCATGTAACGCGCGCAAACTGCGTTTTCTGCGATTGAAACCCAGCACGGGCGCCTACCGTGGAACGTGGGAATTTTTATTTACATTCTTACAACCCTTGCAATACGCAGCATCGACGATTTTTAACGGGTTCCTTCGCGGGAAATGAACGTGAAAGAAATTTTCCCGCGGGCGAATTTGAATTTGAAGAAAAAAGGTTTGTCAGCCCGGTGACAAAGTGTATTTTCACGTTCGATTCCAATGGCAAGAATGAAACTCGCACCCTCGTCGAAAGGAAGACAAAGGCACGACTCGGTAGGCAGCCATGACAGCTTTACTGATTTGCTTATTACCGAAAGGAAGCCCAAGAACCGTTCTAAATTCTAAAAGTGACAAACAGCGTGAAAATATCATTGAGATAATCAAACGCATGGATCTTCCTCCTAATCTCGACGTTTCCTTCGGTAATAAACGGACACGCGATCGACGAGTCGCGGTGCCATTCAAATTGGGCACGCGCCCTCGGTACAATGGAAACGCAGACGGAGACCACTCTGACGGAGACGGGAGAGAGACTAGAGTAACCTAGTAGTAACCGAAGCTGATGTCGTGCAACGGCGGCGCGACGCCCTGAGGCAAAGCGTAATCCCTGGCTAGCTGATCGAGGATGCCGCCGCTCTGGCTGCGAGGTTGCGGCTGGGAACGGCGTTCCTGAACGGGAGCTGGGCCAAACTGAGCTGGGCCCTGGTTGTACAACTGAGAGGGTGGTGCCGGTTCTTCGGGCTGGATGAGAGGGGTCTGTCTGAGGTTGGATTGAGGAGCAGCCGGCGTGAAAATCGGCGGCTTGGAGAGGCTTGACTGCTGCCTGGACGCCAGCTGAGGCGAGTAGACGGCCTGAGTGTGCGTCTGTTGGGGCTGTTGGTAAGCTGGCTCCTCGTACTGAAGCTGTTGAAGGGATGCTTGTTGCCGAGCTGCTGCCGCCGGCGCAGGCGCTCGAAGCGGCACCGGTCTGGCTGCCGGTTGCGGGTAGTCCTCTTGATAGTTGGCCGGCAGCGATTCCTTGTTCGTCGTCTCGTCGACTAGAGTCGGTGGCGCGACCGTGATACCCTCGCCAGCCGGCTGGAAGCCGTACTGATTCGCGCCGTACTCGACCACGCGCACCTTCCCGGTATCGTCCACGAACCCGTATTTACCCTTCACCTCGCCGGTCGGCAGCTTCGTCTCGATCTTGAACGAGCCGTCCGCGCCCTCGAACCCGTACGTGTACGAGCCGTCCTCGTTGTGCCTGTTGATCTGCTTGAGGATGGCCACCGGGGTTGGCTTCGGCGCGGCGGGGCCAGCGGATTGCCGGCTCGGCGCTGAGTCAGCCGCGTAACTCCGCGGAGTCGGATGGGCCGGTCTCGCGGGGGACTCGTACGCTGAATATTCGTCGACGTAGTTGATACCTGGTTGCTGGTATTGCTGAGCCGATACCGCGAGCATGGCAGCTACCAATGACAGTACCTGCAGGAAGCAACAAGCTTGCGTTAAATCGAAAACGAAACTGAGGATGACTGAAGTTAATTGGATTACTCGTTAATTGTAGAGTGACACAAGTATGCACAAAGGGTTGTTGGACAAAAAATTGTACCAAGCATAATATATCGGGTCGCGAGGATCATTACTGCTTCAATTATTACTTTCCAGCCGAAAAGACACGTTGTTACGTAAGCAAAGATTCGTTCACAACGCGTTCACAATTGAATTGATCTGACCGGTACGACGTTGACAAACAATCGGTGACTCTTTTGCAATAGGAACGATATTTACTAATATTATTTTTTTTTCTCTCTCTCTTGAAGTTTGCATTTCGGATAATTTACGATTGCCCAGTCGAAACGTGTCTAGCGAGCAATTGTCGTGGCCACCATAAGTTTAACAGTCGTGCGGTCAGCATCGCGTAGCTGTTAATCCGGGACTTTATAAACCGTAATTGTTCGCAGAAAGGCCTGAACGCGGTGATGCATGACCCTCCGAGTTACCAGAACCTTAACCGCCAGACGTGACTTTATTACACCACCGAGTCGAGTAGATAACCGCACTCGAAGGATACCGGATTCTCGACAGCTGTTGCATTAGCGAACGAATGCGACGAATGAGCAAATAAACGCGAGTGCTTTGTCCATAAATTGCATATATATATATTTTCTTTTTTTTTCTTTTTTTTTCTCCCGATAGATCGATCGTGATTTGCAAATTACACACGCGACTCGAAAGTAACGCACTTCCTGCCCGCAGTTCTGCCCGAATGACCACAAACGAGAAACGCTTGCTATTGCCACGCGACATAATTCCCAAACGTGTTCCTGTTCCTTCGGCGTAGCTCGTTATATAATTCTCTTTCTTCGAGCGAGTGGGCGGCGACAAGAAGCTCGCGCCCTCGTAACTTTTTTCGAGAGATATCTCCGAGAAACAACACGGCTGCGAATGTACGAAGCTTGTGTTTGCAGTTGTTAATTAACGCGATGACAATCGCGATGCTTCAAACGAACGATCCCCGCGTGATCACGATCACGAGCGGCGAACCCTAAGATCCAGAGGTCTGGATCGATCGATCGCTCGATCTACTGACATTTGTCTCTCGCCACTCTTACGAAATCCTCGCACGACCTGTCCGTGTTTCTGCAAACTATCGTCTACGTTCGATCAAACTGACTGACGAGCACCGCTCTGGAACGAACGGAATCAATGCACAAAACACAGGCACAGTTCCGCGAACGATCGACGAACAATCACATCACACACGCGAGGCTGGGATTTTCGATGGTGGCGTCACGATCGCAATCTGGTTGCAGAGGAGCCAGTTTTAACGGGAAAGCGAAAGAGAAAAGAGGAAAAACGGTGAACGATGAATGACTGAGCGGATGCACTGCGAATACGTACCGTCGCGACGGTGTACATTGTGTTTTCCAGGTGGTCGGTGTGTTAGTGTGTGTGAATGTAAGTAGGCAGCGAGGCTAGAGTACCAGCGGTTGCTCGAACTGAGGCCCTCATATACCTTACTCGGGTCCCCCGTTCCTACCCCCCTCTTGCCCTCTTGCACTCTTGTTAGCTCTGTGGGACTTTCACTATCTATTCGAACTCCTGTATATATCGGCCGCCTTGTCTCGTTACAGTACCTTATATCCCCTAAATATCCCCCACCGATGGGCCAGCCCGGTTTCGCCAGACACTGGAAAATCGGATCGCGGACCGGCCAGCAACTTTGACGCCGCGTGTACGCGTGTCAACGCGTGCACCATCGGACCCGCATTCCGCGATTTTTCTGCGTTCGTTCAATTCAAGATTCGATCGAGATTTGTTTTCGTCGAAATTTATTCGTCTGAAGACAATTACGAAGAAAATTGCGAAAAGAAAGAGGCAACGATGTCATTGCAGCGATGCACGCAACGAAATTCCTTTCACTTTGCCTACATTTACATCACCTCGTATCAATTAAAACTCGCCAAAATCGTGAATCCTTCGAGCGAGCGAGCACGAAAACGAAGAATCCGCCTAGAATTGTTCGATTATTTTATTCATAGGCAAGACGCGACGATCGGATTGTTCAGACGTCAGGTTTTCGATCGGGTGAATGGATCCAATTTGTCCCCCGTGTGCTCTTATATTACAGTAACCGGCGCAGTAACTCGTATACGGGACACGTTGCCCGGCAGGTTGTTCTCGTTTCTCGTCACTCTTGAAAATCATTCTGAAGCCCTCCGTTCGACTACCAATACGCTGATCAATTTTTATTGTACGTCTGAAACCTTTCACCGCACGTTTGGTCCACCGTGCGCCGTACGGTCTCGGTTACGACCGATGTCGGTGTATCCATTTCGAAATTACCGTTCCGAAACTGTTCAAGATGTTCCGCGACGCTACGCGCGATTTCAGCCGACTTCCACGAGAATGGAATTTTAGAAATCCGTGCGTTGCACGGTAGCGTAAATAGTTGCGAATACTCGCGAAACTTTTATCCTAAAAATAGAGAGACTTCGTACAACATTTCAAAGAAATGTGACATATTTGTTTAATCGTGAAAATTTTCTATTGTATTATTAATACATTGTGTATATATTTATATATATAATATTTTCTATTGCATTATTATACATTGTGTATATATTTATATATATAATATTTTCTATTGCATTATTATACATTGTGTATATATATTAATATATATCGTGAAAATATTATTTATCGTGTATATATTAATTTTAATATATATTTATTAATATTAACATATGTCGTGAAAGTATTAATATTAATATATATCGTGAAAATATTAATTATCGTGTATATATTGATATAATAATTTGTGAAAATTTTCTATTGTATTATTAATACATTGTGTATATATTAATATATATCGTGAAAATATTAATTATCGTGTATGCATTAATGTATATATTAATTTTAATATATATCGTATGTATTAACTTTAATATATATTTATTAATATTAATATATATCGTGAAAATATTAACGTATATATATTAATATAATCGTGAAAATTTTCTATTGTATTATTAATACACTGTGTATATATGAATACATATATATATATATATATATACATACTCACAATTATTGACATTTTGATAAACTGTAAACAATTATTAATTTATTAATGTATACACAATGTATTAATTTATTGATATGCACATTTTATATATATATATATATATATATATATAATAACGACGATACGAAAATAATAACCGAAACGTAAAGTTGTTCAGCCGCGAGTCCCTGTGGTAAAATTATTATGTAAAAGTGGTGATGTAGATATCGGGGTCACGCTACAAAAGTTAAACGACACTACAGCGATTGAATGGGACAAAACGAACGCACTTTTACCGCTAGTGTCAAGTATTTATTCACGATTTATCGGACACTTGTGGGAGAAAAATACCCCTCGACGCGGGAAATTTGAAATTTTTTGCCAGCGAGTGTTGTTTCTTTCGACTCAACGCGAGCCAAGTTAAGCTGGAATATTAACAGACTGGAACAATCGACGATTAAAACGTAAAATTTTCACTGGAGATGTTAAAGTAAAAGAAATAGAATAGCTTTATGACACAATGAAGTATGCAAGCATTTATTTATACATTTCACGAGAAATTACTAAATATTACTTAAATCTCTAAAAATATACTGCTTCACATCCAAAAGCAAAATATTCAACAGAAATTATAAATTGATCGTTCTGACCATTTTTCATAGTTTCAGTGTTTATTCCTGAGATATCAAATTCATACACGATCGAATAAATGCACAGACAGACGATGAAAAATGATCTTTCCTCGTGTTTTACAATTAGCCAAGAAAAGAAAGATGTTGAAGGAATTTAAATTGCAATTACTAGTTATTAAAGCGCGGATTTTACGTACTTATGGAAATTTCGGAGTGTTCAAAATCTCAAGTAAAAAATATTCAAGGTACAATGTATGGTTCTGTAACATTGAATAGATCAAACAATTTTTAAGAAATTGTATTTCAGTATTTCAGAATAATTAGTTTAAGAACCAAACGGAATAAGAAAGGACAGCAATTGATTTTCTCTCGCTTTATATTAGCATGTAATGCAGGCAGTAATTATTCATCCTTCGGCTTTCATTAAGCGAAAAAATTGTAAAGTTCAAATGTCATTCAGGTACTACCGTTAGAAACAGCATTGTCTACTAGCATTGTCACTTTACACCGATTTAAAGCTAATCGACGGTCGCCTCTGCAAATCCGAAAGTATATTTAAACGTCATAATTCAATTACATACGAGCTTTCGTTCATCATTGACACGATGATTTCATACGAACTTTGAATGTCTATCATTCAAGGTATCTTTTCAACCCTTTGGCTAATTTTCAAAAATCCAAAAGATAAATATACTACCGGATAAAGACTCCGATAAATAAATTTTATGATACGATAAATTATAGATTGATAATGAATTACTCTATTGTTGATTATTTCCACAGTCTGTCATTTTATGATTGCTTCGATTATATTTCTGATCCCGATTCATTTCAATTATATTAATTTCATAGATTCCTGGAATTTTGTAATTCAGTAATTTACACAATCTGCCGGTTTAGCGATTAGGAGATGGTAAATTTAAGTAAAAGCGAGTTGATCTAACTGAAAAACTAGCTGTTCGTTTGTGGAATGGAACGAAACAGAAGGAAACCAGCTAGCACGCGTTCAATCCTTGATTACAGTGCTGTCTGTAATGCCACATTCGATCTTGCGAGAATAATTACGTCGATGAAGTATAATATTTTGTATAATTCGATATTGTATAATATTTGTATAGTTCGATGGTTGAAATCGTGCTTCGTCGATAATTTAGGTAAGGCAACTTTGATCTAGATATCGTAAAAATCGAAGCAAAGCGAAACGGGGGAGGAAATCTAAATTTTTTCGCTAGCGTGATTGAGTGTGTTTTCAAGTTATCTAGCAACCGGATGCAAACGCAACGTTCTTGCGTTTCTGGAATTCTTTCGAGTGAAAATCCTTTCAAGCGAGGGAAGGGGACGAGCATCGTTCCCATCGGCTGTCACCTTGAAACTGACCGAACGCGAGCAAGGCTGGGATCGCGATTCGGTAAAACGGAGCACGGCCTTTGGAAACGTGCCTCGACACTCGGCGTTTTCACTCGACTTGTACGAAACGCGGCAGATGGAGAATTCATCTAATCCATAAAAGATATCGAGACAATGAAATCTGACATAAATATTTATGAGAAAACTATTCCTTTCCAACGATATGCAACATGATATATTTCATGTCCGTTTAATTACTAAAGTTTTGTTAACTTTAGAAACAAGCATTTTTAAACAAATTTGCCAAATTATTTGTATATTCCAATTAATAAATTTATTTAATATATATTTTTAATTAATCAAATTCTCCATTCTGTTCAATATTTTATGTACTATAATTGCGAGTGGGAACTGTGACTTTTTATCAAGAGAGACCATCTTTTATCGTAGGAAAAAATTATTTCAGGACGTAGAAAATTAAACATGATAGTCAGAACATTTCAAAGAAAAAGGTTCAAATTATTTGAGAATTATTATAATCGAGATTTTTCAAATGTCTAACTTTATGCGTCCCTTTCAACTAAAATTATTATTATATTTTATTAACTTTTTCGAGGTTGATGGACATTTAGAAATCAATATATTTATCAATTGTATATACCATAAAAATATCAAATGAGAAAGTTGAGTTTTTTTGTATTTAAAATGTGAACTTAATATATTATCAATATATATGTATTATCAATATATATATATATATATCAAAATGAGAAAGTTGATATTTTTGTATTTAAAATGCCTGAATTCTCGATCAGGCCCACTTTCAGCCGAAGGAGAGTTATCGATCGACGTTTCGTAACTTTCTATTGGCACGCTGCTCGTTGGATTTGCGTCTGATCGATAGAATTTTGTCTACCTTCCGGCTCGCTTCCGTAATTTCTCTCAAACGTGTAACTCTCAACGATCAAACGCTGCTCTTGTCGAGGAATTAATTCATTTGTTGCTTTTGCTAGAAAGTCCTACAAATTCTCACTCGTAATCTACACGCCAATACGCGCAGACTGTCGCTTAACGAAGAGTGATGTCGATCGTTTCTCCTACTTTCTTTGCTAGATCTACTAATTGGATCTAATTGGTAGATTTCTTGCAATTTTAATATCAATAACTTTGATATCAACGATTATTTGCAATCATTTTAACCAAACGGACGGTTCATTCGTCGCAAATGGAAACGACGCCGGCTGCGCGATGCTCGGTATAACGAAAGTGATCGCTTTTTCTTCTTCGAATTTCTTCTTGCCATTTCTTACCTAACTTTTCAAGTATTTATACTTACTTCCATATTTTACTTCTCCAAACGACGAAATCTCTTGAGCTGAAATGACGTGCCACGCACGTCGAGAATTTTTTGTCCCAAAATTGCAATAATTTCTCTATTTTAAGTATATTTAAATATAATTAAGTAGGCAAAACAAATAATAAATTTATTACTTCTCAATAATTTCTATCCGCGATATCAGCGATATCATACCGACGAGTTCGAAAGAAAA